GAGGGGTTAAACCCCATGAGAGAGGGGAACAGGTTGGATATCAGGAAAAATTACTTCACTGGAAGAGTGGTTCAATATTGGAAAGGGTTCCCCAGGGAAGTTGCGGACTCACCATCCCTGGAAGTGTTCAAAAAATGAGTAGAAGTGGTACTTTGTGATGTGGTTCAGTGGACACAGTGATATTTGGTTGAAGTTTGGACTTGATGATCTTGAAGGCCTTTTCCAACCTCAATGATTCTATGATTCTATGAGCCTGGCTTTTACAAAGGGAGATTTCTCTGACTGCTAAGTGAATAAATTAATTTATATGTCTAAATGCAACTAGCAAATGCTACAGTGGGAAAGGCTTCCTAACCAGAATCATCAATCAGACAAAAATAAACTGTTGTGTGCATTGCATGTCCTCTTTTTTTGGACCCAGCAAGAGACCCATCAGACAACCCCAATAATAAAAATAAGATTGTGTTTTATTTATGATTTAGCTCCCACTATGCTGGAGAGGGACTTTAGACAAGGGCCTGGAGTGACAGGACACGGGGAATTGCTTCCCACTGCCAGAGGGGAGTGTTTGATGGGAGGTAGGGAAGGAATTCTCCCCTGTGAGAGTGGGGAGGCCCTGGCACAGGCTGCCCAGAGAAGCTGTGGCTGCCCCATCCCTGGAAGTGTCCAAGGCCAAGTTGGACAGAGCTTGGAGCAACCTGGGCTAGTGGAAGGTGTCCCTGCCCATGGCAGGGGGTGGCACTGGATGATCTTTAAGATCTCTTCCAATCCAAACCATTCCATGATTCCATAACGTGGGAGATGCTCAAAGGCATTTGGGTGTTTCAGGAGCCCCACATGTCACCAAACCCCGTGCCTGTCTCTGGTGGGGCAGTGCAGAGAACACGAGGAGAGCTTGTACAGGGGAGGCCTGAAGTGCTTGGAGTGGTTTATTTTTCCTCACTGCAAAACCAGCCCCAGTAGATGTTATTTGAGAAGCTCCTTGGTGACATGAAGCCATAATGAATTGCACCATTTGCCCACACACATCCTTGTCTCTGCAGACCCTCCCAGAGCCTCGTTAGCCAGCCAGGTTCCCTGGCAGCCTGGAGCTGTGCCCGCAGCTCCTTTGGGATGGGTTTCCAAAGGATCTGTGCCCACAGCGCAGTTTTTTGACTTTGCTCTCCGTGGGAGCAGATGTGGCGAGTGCTGACTGCTCACAGAGAAGTCCCACTTAAATGTCCTCTCTGTTTCTATGCAGGAGAGTCAGGAGATGAGCCCAGGAATCCTTGTGCAGCCTCCCTTGATAAAATTATATCATGTCCGTCCTCTTTCATTTAGTCACTCCTGCTGGCGAGACTTAATTTTAGACTCTGCTGGCTTTTGTCAGTAGATCTCAGGATATATTATCTATGCTTTATTTTATTTTGTGCTCATCTGGGCAGTATCTGGAGTGTATAAAATGGGGTCTCCTGGAACAACTTTATTGCTTCAGCCTCTTCCTCGAATGAGTTTTTGGCACAAGTATAATTTTTCCCTCGTCTCCGACGAAAAGCAATTTCCTTTCTCCCCTGCACGTCCTTCAGGCTCTGGTGATTCTGCCCTGCAAAAAACCAACTTTGTTGACCCATTCTCTCTCCTGGGGGTGGCAAATGGTCCTCACCTGACCACCCCAGCACAGCACATCATCTCGGAGAGCAGCAGGGAGAGCCGCCGCCTCCCAGAGAGATTGTTTGCTCTCTTCTCGTAGGTGACATCACAGCACTAACAGAGGATTGTTACGGTTCCTTCACCTCTTGAAATTGTTCCTTGCAGTGAGGAAATGGTGAAATTGGAATGGGAGAAGCTGGGGTGCTGACGGGACTTTGATAGTTGTAATTTTTATTTAGCTGGTTGTCTTGCTTGCAGAGTCACTGATGTGTTACCAACCTCGAGCCAAGAGGAATGATACAAGGAGGGAAAAGTGTCATCCTCATTTTTTCTGTTGTTTTTTTTTCCTTTTCAAGGGATCAAGAATCTCCACTGAACACACCTGCATTTATATCTGAGGTCCACAATTTTTTTTCTTTAAAAAGGAATCTTATCTATTTGTCTGGGTTAGTGAAAGTGCTGCTCAGCAGAAATGTTTGAGCTGTAACGTTGTGAGGGATGGAGGGTTTGCCTCATTATCCTTCTGCCTTAGATTTTTAGAGGGCAAAAGGCAGGAAATTTCTCTTGATCTAAATGAGAAAAATAAAATTTCTTCTGCTTATGAGAAGGGCCCTTTGGAAGCAGTTTTTCAGACTGACACAGGACTTCCAGATACCAGTGTCAGGAATGGTTTGGTCTTTCAGCTTCCTTTGTTTTCACTTTGTGTGTAGGCTGGAGGTTTGGAAATGCTTCTTTTACTTTCATGAGGAAGGCTCAGAGGATTTTATTTTCCAATACAGTTTCCATTGTGTTCATGGGAAAAGATTTGTTTTGCTAAACAGAGTTTAAACACAGCCCCATGGCAGATCCCTATAAAAATCAGCTCAAGTCAATACTGATCTGCTTTCCCACATTCTTACTGGGAAATATTTCTTCTAATTTCCCTGGCATCTCTCTAAACCTAGAGAATGAAAAATGAGAGAAGCATTTGCCCCCCCTGAGCTTCATGTGCCACATTTTCCTCCAACAGAGCAAAGAGTAAGAGCAACTCCAGAGCGTAAGGGAGGAAATATTGGAGAATGCGGAGCTCTTGTCTCAGATAAGAAGGTTGGAAAAACTTAGGATAATGTAATTTAGTTTGTTTTGAATTACTTTAAAATCAGAAAGCCTGGGAGAAAGGCTCCATGTACCAGTCAGTGTAAATCTGGAAGGGAGCCATCAGCTCGAGGAGGAGAACTCTGCTATACATTTGTATTACTGGAAGCAGATGTGGGCTTAGGGCTCCAGCCAAAATTTCAGAGTATAAAAAGAATGATCTGTCCTCAATTCTTCGTTGGTCAGAAGGGGTGGGATGAATCAATACTTGTGCATTAGTGCTGGGAATGTGGCTTTCAGGGCTGATGTGTCTGATAGAGATGCTGGTTCAGTCCAGGAGTGATAAGAAAATCAAACCCAGCACTGCCTGCGTGCAGCCAGGTACCTGCTGCTCTCCTGCATGGAAAACCTGCAGCTTCCTGGGGCTCAGCAGTGTTGGTTGGTGGGAGGGCATATGATTACAAAATGATTTTTTAATGGTTACTTGGAGAAGCTCAGCTGCACGTGGTTTCCATCCCCCTTACACTGCTCCCCCAAAAATCCATGTCCACTGCAGAGCATCACCCTGGGACACCCTCAGCCTCATGTGCAGTGACCCATGAGCAGGAGATGCTTGGCTCACAAGCAGGAGGGTGATGTACAGGACTGTGTACAACACTGTGATGTACAGGAGTCCCACCCATCAGTCAAATTATTGTGCCATCAAGATTGGCCCTGGCACAGGTTGCCCAGAGAAGCTGTGGCTGCTCCATCCCTGGAATTGTCCAAGGCCGGGTTGGACAGGGCTTGGAGCAACCTGCTCTAGTGGAAGATGTCCCTGCCCATGGCAGGGGGTGGAATGGGGTGAGCTTTAAGGTCTCTTGCAGCCCAAACCATTCCATGATTCATTGTATGATTTATGGTGTGGTTGAAAATGGACCCATCCATCAGGGTGAGCCTCCAACACCTCTTCTATTAGTGAGGAGGTGCATGAACACCCTGCACGAGGGGAATCCCCCCAGACCCCCCCCCAGAACTTTACCAAGACATTGTAAGGCACAGATTTTATTTTATTGTTTTAAATAAAAGATAAACCCTCTCAGTAAGGAGGATTCTGCTCTTTTCCTCCTGAATTTTGGAGTCATCCCTGTGATTTGTTATGGCTCTTTTGTCTGGGGAAGATTTGTTCCTCAACAAGCAGTTTCTGGCTAATCTTTACTACTTCAAATTTTGTTCTAAGATCTTCTTTAGACAGAACTAGGTCGAGTATATTGCAATTGCCTTGTGTTCTTAAAATCACTTTGTCACAGACTCCTAAATAACACATTGCCTTATTCATAAACAGCCTGAGCAAGCCAGGATTTGCAGGATGTTCAGTGTGTGACAGTGATGTGTTACTCTGAGCCACGAGATTATCAAAGGATTCCACTGCCTGAGCCACCAGCAGAGAGAAAATATGATCAAGAATTATTTGAGCCTCATTTATTTAATGAGCCGACAGTAAAAATGAAACCTCCAAACTTGTGAGGGTTGAAAAGCAAATTGCAGGGAAGGTTTTTTCGAATCTGTAGAAATCCAAAGCTCTTCACTGGGCAGAAATAAATTTGGCCATGGGTTCATATATAAATTGCAGCTTCATAAAGCATGTGATGTTGCAGGGGGATTTCTATGAGCCGTGGATGTGGTGATTTCTGATGTGCATGACTGGGAGCAGAATCTCACATATAGTACCTGGGGTTTGACCACATGAAGGGGAATTTCAAAGATTAACAGTAATTCAAATACTGATAATCATGAAGGAAGAAAATGAGCAATATTTTAGTTGTTGGTCTTGCTCACTCCTACCCTAGCTAATAAAAAGCCAATTTTTCCAGCTTCTACCTTTCATGTAGTCTGAAGTTCTGGGTCCCTGCACATCAGAAGGAGCATCTCTATGGGCTGAAAGCAGAGAGATTGACTCTTAAAAATCATTTTCTTATTTTTACTCTAACCATGACCTGTTACTTGAGCTCAGAAACATCACCATAGAATCCTAGAATGGTTTGGGTTGGAAGGGACCTTAAAGACCATCTCATTCCAACACCCCCCTGCCATGAGCAGGGACACTTTCCACCAGACCAGGGTGCTCAGGGCCTCACCCACTGGTCTTTACGATGCCTTCGCTGGTCCTGTCAGGAGAGAGGCCAAGGGAGGCAATGGGGACCAAATTCCCTGCACTTTCCAAAAGCAGATGGCTCTCATGTCAAACTGAGAAAACTATGTCAGCTCCCTCCAGCATGGTTTCACTCCTGTTTTGCTCTCCCTCTCTGTCTCCACAGCCGTTGAGTCGCTGCATTCCTTGAACGACCAGATCTCCCATTTTATTGTCAACAAGTCAAAAACGCTGGATGAGGAGGAAGAAGCCTTTTTGCCCAGCGAGAAGGAATCTCTGAAAAGTGCCATGATGCTGATGAGGCACCTCCTGATGGATGCACAGGTAAGGAATCAATAAGCTCCCACCTGTTAGGATACGAGGAGGGCCCATTGCAGGGATGCAGAGGAACACGTCGTCTTTGTGCGTGGTTTTAACAGTGGAGAACATCAGTCCCTGACACTTCTTTAGAACTGATTTTGGCTTCTGAAATCTGCAGCTGTGGGAAGGACATCTCATTGCACGGAGTGTGCAGCTTGTGCTGGGGCTGAGTCTGAGATTTAGGGCTGAAAATCGCTCTTAATTTCAGGAGAAAGTACAGCAATGTGCCCATTGATGGGAATACAGCAATAACCCCATTGAGGGAATCCAGCGTCAGCACTAGCTGACTAGAAAATCATTTTTCCACTAAGCATCTGTGCTGAATGCCAGTTTTAGAAGTGCCAGACTCATAACTGAGCTGTTGGTTTAGCCAAGCTCTAAAGTGCCAGTTAGAAGTCATGAAACGATGTGCAGATGTTTCTTTGTGCCTTTGCTGCTTCGACATAAAATCTCTCTTGCTGCGTTGCAGTGTTTCCTTCAGCCTGCAAAAAACACCCTTTGAAACATTTGTTATATTCATCTTTTTATATTCTCTTTTGGTCTTTATTTGCAAAGCCTGGATGGAAAATGGCAGCTTGTATGAGAGGGTTGTTTTAGAAATGGGGTGATCTCCTCTCCCTTCTCTGGCAAGGCCTAAAATCAGGCAAAGGAGGCCCGAGGTTGTCCTGAGCTCTCCTGAGCTCTCCAGGACTGGGGATTGCCTGTTTTATTCCCATATTCTCCCATTGGAGCCTGGTGGTTATCTTCTCTCAAAACCTTTGGTCCTAATTACTTTGGCTGACAGGGATCTTGGTGCATGTGGGAAGTGCCTGGGAATCCCTGCTGTGAGTGAGACGTGTTTCTATGTTGGGCATTTTTGAACAGGGAGTCAACCCAGGCTTTGGGGGCTGTGGGAGTGCACAGGGAGCAAAGCATGACAGCTGTGCTCAGGATTTCACATCTGTGATGGTGGTGTTGGTCTCATTTTGGTGCATCTTTAGCCAGTTATGCTCCATTTACCCCAAACTAATGGAGAACATGAAGGGTTATGTTGTGCATTTGGATTTGCTCCCACAGTCAGTGCTGCAGGTGGGAATAGAATCATAGAATCATATAATCATGGAATGGTTTGGATTGGAAGGAACCTTAAAGCTCATCTCCTTCCACCCACTGCCACGGGCAGGGACATCTTCCACTAGATCACGTTGTTCCAAGACCCCTCCAATCTGGCCTTGGACACTTCCAGGAATTTGGAATAGCCAAGCATGAGAGAAGGCAGATTAAAATAAATATGGGGCAAAAAGGTACCTGTTGATAATCCCCTCGTGCAGGAGTTCTTTTTTTAGCACCTGAGAATTGCTTTCCTACTTATCAGCTGTCCTGAATGCATATTAATCGGTGCCTGTGATAGCATCTCCTAATCAGTCTCTCTAATAACAATGGGGAAATGTCAAGTGCTCCTGCATCCTCGTGATGCTCCTGGAACCCTTCCCAGAAAGGACAGGATGGTTTTTTTGCCTGGGATTTTCAGGTTGAAAGAATGACAAGGTGGGAAGTGGTAGTGGTGAGTAAAAGGATGGAACTAAACATGTGATAACATCCAGTAAAAAAAAAAAACCCAAACCTAATAAAATAAATCCTCTGAGGAATGAAAGAAACGTGAGTCTGGCAGGAATATCAACAGGAATATCCCCTGCAATGTGTGCATATAAATCCATGCTAACCCTGACTGCAGAGTGCCCTATGGCTGTAATCACACAGGAGGAAAAAATATCACCAATGCAATTATTTCCCTTCCCTTCCCTGCTCTCTTTGCTTCCCAGCTAGTGGTTTTATGGAAGATGGAGCCCTGCAGCTCTGAATGGTATTGATTGTGTGAGGCTCTGTACAAAGACAAGCTGAAATCCAGCGTGGCCCTTTCACTCCCCTCTCTTGGCGTGGACCTGATTTTAACTGGTAGATAATTTGAGGGAAAGAACATCCAACGTGAAACTTTGGGTAGAAATCAGTTGGACTGCTAACCCAGCAGGAGTGACTGGTCAGAGGGGACAGTTAATGGGCATTTCTCACTTCTCTGCCATTATTAATCCACTTTGCAGAGGCAGGGGTGGTGTGGGGATGATGCCTCATGCCTGCTGCCCTTCTGGCATGGAGAGAAATAGGAGACATTTTCAGAACTCTGCCTGGACACACACCAGGAGATGTGTCTGAAGCAAAGGAGCAAAGGATCCTCCACGGGTCTAACTTTGATCTTGAGTCATTTCTTTGGCTTAAGATGAATCATGAAACCAATCAACAGTTTTCCACTCTGGAAAATGCTGTGAGGGTTTTCAGCTGAGGCATCGCTGGGACCACGAGCATCTGCCTGTGAAAGGGCAGGTCCCTGAACTCAGCAAGGTGTCACTGGGAAGACAAAATGACAAGGATGCTCACCAGCTTGGAGAAGAGAAACCACAGCACAGAGGCACTGGGGAGCTTGTCTGGGATTTCACAGCTGTATTTTCTGATAGCCAGAATGTGGACTCTGCGCTCCTGAACATCGGCCCAGTCCATTAATTAGATTGTATTTATTTCTCCCTTGGCTTCTTGGGAGAACCTCTTTTCCCCATCTTTTTTGTCAATTTACTCTACTTCTCACTGATTTTCATGCCCTAGTTTTGTGGTAGTGATGTACAAGCAACCGTGGTAGCAATAACTGTGGCTTTACAGGGGAAATTTGCTGTGCTGGAGGTCACTGGTTGGGAAACACAGTGTAGAGAAACAGCTGTGGAATGGGGGGAAAATCACCTCATCTCCCATATACCGTTGTTTTCTATGGAGAATGGGGCATTTCCTTGTGTATTTTACACTCCTCCTGCCTGGAGAAATGTCCTCGATGGCAGATGAGGTGGGGGAGTGGTGCTGGGGGCTGTGCTGTGGGCTGGCCCAGAGGCTGCTGCCCTGTCAGCCCCGTCAGCGGCGTTGAAGGGCACACAGGGATAGGTAATAAGCTGTGTGGAGCCCCTCAGCAATAGGCTGTCAGCTCAAATTCTGCCCAGGGAAGACAGTGATTTAATGAAAGTCATTACAACCTGCAGGATCTCTTGACCCCAGTGGTTTCCATCCGTTCCACACTCTGGATAGGATTTCCTCACCACGAAAACACCCGGGCTCAGAGATTGCTGTGGCTGCTGGGCTGGCAGAGCTCTGGAGAAGGAGCATTTCCCTCCCTCCAGTTGAGGGTTGGGGCTTTGCATCCAGATTGCTCATTTCTGGTGTTTGCTTCAGGTTTGCAGCAGGTTCCTGACGTCAGGCACCACCTTCCCCTGAGCAGCACTGAGCGAGTCCTCATCTCCAGAGCCCACCTGAAGGGGGGGAGGGATACGAGGGGGAACTTAAGAATAAGATCAAGTTTTGGGGGCACTTGGCTTAAATGTACTTGGATTTCATTTGCTGTCTAGGCACAAGAGCATGAGGGCACAAGGAAATTCAGTTTTTTCTCTGCTGGGGGGTTCATTTCTTCCATAGGTAAAGACAGAAATCAACCTGCTGGTACTTCTAAACTGTCAACAAAATGGTGTCCTGTGAACAAAAAGTGTGCTGAGATAATGCAGGTGCATAAAGGCAGGTGGAAAAGAAAAGGTGCATTTATCCTCCGTGACATTTTCCATCCTCCACATGGTGCAGGAGAGAATAAACAATTGCCCTCCTGCCAGACAGCCCTGTTGCAGGGACACAGTGGCCTGTGATACATTGTCACTGCTGTCAATCATTCCTGACAGTCCTATTATGCTCGGAAAGGATGTTTGCTCTGTGCCTGTTGTTTTATAATCCTCAGAGGTGGAATTTTATAGCCTGGCAGTGCTTTTTTTCCTCAGACATTTCCCTAAGCAGGATTTATTGCTTCCGAGACGCACGTGACGTGAATCCTTCACACCCTCAAACTTTAAATTGCCCCCCCAGCTTTGCCTAAATTACTTTTTGTTTTGTTTTGTTTCTGTTCCTAATTGCTGCAGTGAGAGGCTGGACTGGCGTGGAGCAGAAGATACAAGGGCTGAGTCATGTGCATCAGCTCTAATCCAGCTGTTTGCCCAAGGAATTTGTCTAATGAACAGAAAAGGTGCATCCAGGCACCAGCACCAGCCTCAGACAGAGAATATTCTCTGTTATATGAAGGAACACATGTAATTTTGCTGGATGCTTGCCCTGAAAAGCCAAGCTTTCAGGAAGTTTAGTCCATTTAGTTCCTTCCATTAGGTGTTTAATTGACTTCAAGTGGATTTGAAGTTCTTTGGCAGAAATACCATCTCCTCAGTTCCCCTCCCAGCAGTGCTATGATTAATCACCAGGTGATGTTACAGGGGGAATGAAGAGACATCGAGACCCTCTTTGGGTTTGGATTGGACTTTCTGAATGCAGTCATATCACAAATGATGACTTAAGAACAAGATCAGGTTTTGGGGGCACCTGGCTTAAATTTACTTGGATTTCATTTGCTGTCTAGGCACGGGAGCATGAGGACACAGAGAAATTCAGTTTTTTCTCTGCTGAGGGGTTCATTTCTTCCATAGGTAAAGACAGAAGATCAACCTGCTGGTACTTCTAACCTAAACTGTCAACAAAACAGATGGTCATTGCCCAAAAATCATGGGGGAAAGAACCCTTTCATTAACATTTAGAGGTATTTTTTCTTTAAATTCTGGTATCTCAGCTTTTGTGTGTGTGTGTGTGTTCTTGTTTATTTTTTTTACTTTACTCTGAATCAAATGGCTCCAGCACTCATTGACTAGTGGGACAAACTTTTAGCAGGTGCCTACTAAGACAGGTCTGTAGATGTTGCTGGAAGTTGCTACCAGTTTGGGTAGAGGATTTTGTCCTGGTTTACTTAGGAAAATACTTGAGTATTTGTGCTGTCACCACCATCCTGTAAATAAATCATTTAAGCTGAGAATCTTTCAATTTTTGGAAATAAGGAAAACCTACGTGGCATGACTTACATTTAGCCA